AGAATTTTAATTTCTTATGCAATTTAAAGGTTAAAAATTAGACAATAAACCCATCTGGTCTTGAGAAGACAATAAACAGCAATCAAAGTCTCTGACCAAAGAACTGATTGATTGTGTCCTACTGACCAGTTAGGGCAAACCTGGCTCTGCAGACAATCAGTTGCAAAACTATGAGAGAATGTTGCTGAACTAAGCAAACAGCTCCTATCCTAAAGGTCTGGGGCCTCTGGCTGTTTTCACATAGGAAAGATGGACTGTTAAACAATTATCCAGGTAATGTAGCCACATAAAGTTGCCAAGAAGAAAAGAGTCAGGGTGAGGTGGAAGCCCCATAAAAAAAGACCGGCAGGACCCCGAGGCAGGGCCTCAGCCCCGAGACAGGGGGCTGAGAACTAATAACTACTCTCCTGACAGCATCATCCGATTCCCTGGCCCAGAGGCTTTATCTCTTTTTGCCTCTGAAACGGCTTTCTTCTAAGAAAGTGGAACTTACCCCTAAAATTCTATTGGTTCCCTGAGCTAACTCCTGATTTGTCCATTTGTAGTGCTTCATTTGCATGGAGCTCACTCCTGATTGGTCCATTTCTACAAAGCTTGTTCCTAGTCACCTTTGTTATACCTTATTTGCATATGATGTTACAAAATGTGGCAAAGTCTAGACTGGTAGCCTGTAAAAGCCTGTGTAAACCTACAGGCAGGGTCGAGCTTGGAGTGTTAACTCCTCTGGGCCCACTGGCATAATAAACCTGAGTTCTCCAACTCTCCAAGTGCTGCTTGATCTCCCACCCAGATCCAGGTTGCTGTCACAACTGAGCTGTAACACTGAGCTGTCACACACTTATCTACAACAAGGAAACCAGACTGAATTATTCTGAGACTCCCAACCCTGACTGCCGTGGGGTCGAGCACGCGAGCCTCAAGCATTCTCTGCGCCCATGGGCTGCCGCGGGGTACCTTCTGCAGCCCCAACAAAGCATCAGGCTCTTTTGGCTTCTGTGAGTGCAGCTCAGTACTTCCTATGACGAAACCTGCTAAGAATGATTATAAAAACAAAAACCGCAGGCCTTCTTTGGGGAGGATGTGGAGCTAATATTCACGTCAGTGTTTGTGTCTTGGGGCATCCCGAGGTGAAATTATTGTAACTGTAGATCTAATTTCATAGACAAAGCAGGTCCCTGAAAATAAAACTTTCCCTGGAGGTAGAGACAAAAAATAAATATGGTCCACGATCATCTACCTTCTTTGGAAATACCTTGGGAGGCGGCAATCAAGGCAGTGGAAAACTAGCTCACGCTCCTGGATACATTCAGCCCTCCTGACCTCTACCCTTCTCTCTCTCTCTCTCTCTCTCTCTCTCTCTCTCCCTCTCTCTCTCTCTTACTCACACACACATCCACACAGCTTTTCTTATACCAAAGACACTAGGTATGAATGCTGAGTCTACCTCATCTCAAGCCTGCAGTCCAAACTGATGAAGGGTCCCCCTTCCTTGGTCTCTCGTGTACTATAGTTCTAAGGGCCAAGAAACATTTCGTTTCACCTGGTATTAATCCTCTGAAAGCAACACGACTCTCCCATCAAGTCAGTTCTGTTCCTTTTAACAAAAGCATTTTGTCTGTCAAAGATTCACTGTCATCTCACTTTCTCTGCTGCCTCCTTCTTCCTTGTTCTAATGTTAACCTTGTTCTAACACGACAATTTGCCAGACACTGAGCTAACTAAGCTCTTAGATACATTATCTCATTTAATCCTCACGGCAAACCTAATGGGCAGATACTATTTTTATTCTTATTCTAAAGAACCGCCAGCTGAGGCTTAGAGGGGTGAACCCCCGCCCAAGGTGGTAAAACTTGCAGGTGGTGAAGCTGGGCATCAAACCTGCTGAGTAAGAACTCCGAGCTCTTCATTACCAGGCCAGTGGTCTCCGCAACACTTTCCATAAGGCACCTGAGAATGGAGGTGATTCCACTGAAAGGGAATCTGCAGCTTTCACAGACATTTTATGGGCATTCGTCTTTACCAAGAGCCATTTCCATGATGCTTTTATAACTGTTACAACCACTTGCACTAGACTGTTCTTACTGTTTGGGGGTAATGGACCTATTTGAAAATTTTGAGTGAAACCCCATGAATGACAGGCACAGAGCCCCTGGCTTGAAACATCCTTCTGAAATAGATACTCTCCTTCTTTCCATCCTGCCCACCTGTGGTCATGCACGTGGTCAGGCTGATCATGTACCACCTGGTGACAAGGGAATTGGAGGATGGATTCAGGAGCATCTTTGGGAAGAAGGCGATGCTGCTTCATGGAGGTCTGCCTGCCACAAAGGCCCTCCCTCTCAGAGGAAGGACTTAGCCAGTCTTTCATCTCTAGAATTTCATCTTAGGTTCTGGTTCTCCAACTAGCACTCATCCCAACATCTTATGAGTAGTTTTAAATATAAAAAAGAAAACCACTCCCTCTTCACATGCATAAATTTAATAACATGAAAGCTATGGCAAAGAGGCAGAAACACTAAACTCGGCACCCCTTTTCCTCTCGAGTATCAGCGTGGGCAATTATCTCTTCGGAAATTAAGTAGAGGAAGGGCCAAGTCTGATAAGAGAAACCCAACAACTGCCAAAACATCAACGGAATATTTGTGAATTCCCTTCTCCCCGTGGCCCAGTGGCTCCTGAGTGTCCATATCTTGGAGTACTTTTGGCTGGTGCTTCAAGAACAGACCGCCGAACTGGCCTCCTCACTTCCCCGAAGGAATTCGTACAGAAGACTATGGGAAAGTCTCCTCCGTAGCCTTCTTTGTTTGGAGCGATGGAAAACATGAAGAATGAAAGGCATTTTCTCATGCCCAGAGCAACACTGCAATAATAAGGATAATGACCCGAAGGCGTTTCGAATTTTGGATAGTGCTTTATACTCTTTCAAAGCATTTTCACATACATTTTTTCCAACCAACTCATACAACAACCTTTTGGTTTACAACTGAGAGAGGAGAAATCATAAGGATCTTGTCTAAGACCAGACAGCCAGGGAGCGGAACGGCGGGGCCAGCACCCAGACCGCACAATTGGTCCAGCATTTCCATCAGGTCACTAAGTAGCTCTGTATCTTATTGTCACCGTCTTCGACTTCTCCTCCTCCTCCACATGCGGGTTGCTGGTCAGTGAGCAAGGGCATCTAACTGAAGATAGAGATTTCAAAAGGAGAAGAAACACAAATCCTTCTTTGACAAGTATACACAGATATAAAAATAAATGTGGCACTCTTCTTTATTGCTTCTTTATGGATGTCTTTCCCCGATCAAAAGGCCCTGCTGGGGACAGTTCACCGACCTGCTATTTCTATGTACACATCATACTCCGTGGTAATGGCAGGGCCTTCCCACCGGGAAATTATTTGCTAAATATTTCCCACTGTCTCACAGCTTGGCCTGTCGATTTCTCCCAGACATAAAACATCTGGGCTTGGACAGCACGTTCAGAGATGTTCTCCAGATGTGGAAGAGGACAGCTGTCCTCAATGGTCTATCACAGGGCCAGCTCTGGGCATTCGTATTTCCCAAGACCCTTTTTCCAACTGGATCTCACCATAGCTTTTCTAGGACTGAAAAAATTGTCCAAGAGGTTGACCGGAGCGCTGAATACAACGCTGAGAAGGTCACGGAGAAGCAGCAGGGGCAAGCCCCCTGCAGGTGGCCTCACGCTTTGCGGTCATGTCACAGTCTTCGAGGCCCTGCTCACAAAAGGCGGCGTGGGATCCACTTTGGGATGTCTCGGTCGAGGGAAGGACTTCACGGGAAGGCTGCCATCTTCAGTGAGGGGCTCGCGCCTCTGCAGTCTGGAGGCACCCCGTGGAGCCTCCGTCCTTAGAAAACACAGCCTGCAGAAGTCCTGCTCACACCAGTACCGTCTTGTGAAGAGTCACGGGCTCCAACTGCTTGCTTGGGGAGGTGACTGGCAGGAAAGCCTGTTCCATGACGGGTTTAGAAAAATCTGGGAAAATACTCTGCTGTCGTGCAAACTTCTGAAAAATCAAATCAAATACGAGATAAGTTGAGAAGTGAATAACAAAAAAATGCATCAGTCGTCAGCTGGATTTAACATTCACTAGCTCCTCTGGGAGCCCTTGTGACACTGGCTGCCTGACTCACTCACAGTGGCTTTGCACTATTTCTCTGGCACCTCCACATGTCAACCAGGAGTTACAGACGGGGGCCATTTCAAGACCCGACTGTGAAGAGATCTGTACGGAAAATCAGTGCCCATGGAAATGGGCATTTGCCAACAAAAAACTCAAGTCATTTATTTTTAAAATGTACCATGAGGTAATTCTAATTATATTCTTATATGCAAATAACTCTAAAGAACAAGCTGTAAGTTTCTTACGGTGTCCTTGAGGGAAGGACATAGGGCTTACGCCTCTTTACACTCCCTCCAGTGCCTAGCATAATGCCTTGTACACAGCAGGTGCTCACTGGAGCTTTCCGACGGACTGACTGATGTCTAAAAGGGGAACCAGAGAGATGAGTGTTTGGCTAGAGAGCCAAGGAAGTGAACAGAAGGGCCCCGTGAGCGACAAAAACCAGCCCTTGAACCGCTCCTGGGTGACCCTTGTTCTGGTCCCCGAGTAGCCAGCACTCCTTGACTCTGAGACCTATGGGACTGACCGCTTCCTAGTGGGTCAGGCCCAGAGCTGGCCCTGCTACCCCACGACCACTGGCAACCCAGGTGGGCAGCCTGCAGAAAGAGGCAGGGAGGGGTGTAGGCTGGAGTCTGTCACCGACACTCAAGGGCGTGTCAAAGACGCCCAAGTGCCGGCCAGTCCTCCTCCGCCCCAGGCCACCCTCTGTGTGCTTCTGGCTTCTCAGGGTTAATTCTTAAAAAGTGGTGGAAGTACCAAAATTGTAAGAGGGAACCTCCAAGAGAAAAGAGTTCATGGGCAGGTGAAGGAGGCTGGTCTGTCCCGGGGTGGCTGGGCTGGCTCCCCTGCCTACAGGAAGGACCCTGCTCGCCCCGCAGGGTGGACGAGCAGGCTTCCATTTTCTACCACCATAACTATAAGGCCTGCTGGTGCTTTAGTTGATCCGTCAGCATTTCACAAACTTCCTTCACCCATTTGCCTTCATTTTGTCTTCCCGGAGCTCTGTGCGGAGCCACCAGATGGAGGACAAGCTGGGAGCTTCCTGCAGGGAAACCCCCAGTCTGGGGTGTGGCCAGGGCTCTGAGAGTACAACTCTCCCTGTTGTTCAGTGACGCACACCATCTACAAAACGCACCCGGGTTGGTGCCCCAGGAGATCTTTTCATCATAAGAGATGTTCTAAAAAGATACTCACGCAAGTGAAAATGATGAGTGTTAAGTAGAAAATGACCAGAGTCAACAGCAGTACAATCTCAGCTCTGTATTTCTTAAAAGTCTCTTCTCTGCGTCCCTGAGAGCATCCTTTAAAAAGAAATAAGTAAAATATGAAGGAAGCCATTTAACAGGACTTTTCTACCATAATTTTTTCTAAAAAGCTAAGAATGCTTGGTTCTGGCTCTTTTAAGGCCCCCTCGTCTCCCATTCCCACCCTCACACGTGTGCCGCTGGGAAGAGCAGCGGCGCTGACAGCAGTGATGGTGGCAGCAGCCGGCGCTCACTCTTGCTCTGGGCCCGGCTGCGTGCAAAGGGCACCCTGCTATTACTGAATAAAGGGACATCTTTGGAAAATCATGAAGGTTCCTCCAACAAGGCCAGCAGAAAAGGGGGCGCTTTGGAACAGCTCCCTGTGGGGTCATTAAAGGCTGCGGCCACAGCGCTAGAAAGGGCAAGTGCGGGAGGAGCGAGGCCCTCAGCCCAGGGTGAGACATCACAGGGACAGCCTCTCCCCACTCAGGCACGACACCCAACGTGTGCGTTGGGGTAACAAGGGCCCCAGGTGGGAGCAGACGGCGTGCATTTGATCAAAGAGGATTCCATCCCCAGGGCCACAGATGGGCCTCCAGAGAGCTGTTGGCCCTGAAACTGGATTCAAAATTTTGTGCAATGGTCTAGGGATGGATTCTCATGGATGTCTGTGACCTCAGAAGAGAAAGGCTGACAGCCGCTGTCCTAATGGTGCTCACATTTATCGAGCACTCTGTCCTGAGCATTTCAGTGCAATATCTCATTCCACCTCCACAACAGGCCTGTGCTGTAAACCTTATCATCCCCATTTTAGAGATGGGAAAACTGAGGCTGAGAGTCAATCAGAGATTTGCCCAAGGTCACACATTAATGAGCAGCTGAGCTGCTATCTGAACCAGATCCAAGCGACCCTAGTAGGACCAGTTAACTTGCAGGCAACACTGCCTTCCAAGAGGAGAAGAAAGCCAAGCAGGTGTTTTCTGTTCATTTCCTCTCTGTTCCCTGCAGGACATGCCGGCCCTCCCTGCTCTTCCTGCCAGGTGGTTCTCATTTCTTATTCGAGTGAATAAAATTCATTGAGGGCCTACTGTGTGCCAGGAGACAGCAGAGAACAAAGCAGGGAGTGGATCGCGTCAGGTGTGGTAAGTGCCACAGAGCAAGACAAACAGAGCAGCATAAAGGGCGAGAGCCTGGAACGGGTGTAGTGTGTGTGTGTGTGTGTGTGTGTAACAGTGAACCCAATCCAAACACTGACCCCTCACTAGCAACTGTGTTCTTGTCAGTGCAGGACTATTATCTTGACTCCTGTCAGCTATTTCGTGGAAGGAGAAAGTAGCTATCGTACAAAGTCAGGGACTCTGTAACAACACGTCTGTCATTTCCAGCCTTAGCCACTAACGAGAGTTGGGCAGAAGCCCAAGGCAAGGCGGATTTTAAGCTACATAAAGAAACGTTATGGAAAAAAATCCAAGGAGATAATCCTTGTCTTGACACTCAATTCTTGGTCTGACTACATAGAGCAAAAATGTGCATCCTGTCCCAGGAACATTATCTTCTCCCTGTGCCCTTTTTCTTTGGCCTGAGTTGAGGTTTGGGGAACTCGATCACTGTAAAGTGGAAAGGAAGTGTGGTTCTCATGCTAAAAAGGTGGAAACATGGAGCCGCTCCCTTCAGCATAGTGAGAAAGCTGAGTGGAATAAGACACAGTTATCCGATATATTCAGGACTATACAGTTTCTCTGTCTCCCCAAAATTAGACTTGGATACATCCTACTGGCTCCAAAGGTCTCTTATACAAATAAACAACATCCAGATTTAGTTGTTAGAGTACATTTGGCAACCGCCCCATAGATCCGTCCTTATTTAAACAAAGAAAAAGAAAAAAGAGAGCAGAGAAACTTATGACATCCTTTGCAGCAGAATTTAGCTTTTAGCCACAGATGTGATCTAAAGCTGCCGAATTAAACTCCGATTGAGATCAGTTTTAGGGCCTACAGGAGGCGCACACACACTCTGTAAGACAAAAACAGATGCAGTGATCACCCCACCTGTCACTTTCAAGATCACAGTGCCACTGAGGTTTCTCTGTCCTTCCGGATCCTCCAGGGTGCACCTGTAGGTCCCCGAGCTGCAGCTGGTAGTGTTTCGGATCTTCAGGGAGTATGGCCTTTCACCGGGAGCCTCTGAAGTGCTGTTCCGGTGATAGGACTGCAGGTCTTCCTGGGGCACCTCCAGCCTCTCTGCACCGCTGACTGTAAGCTGTGAAAAAGGAATCGCATCGCATGACGCTCTAGACGGAACCTGCGAGCACTGGGCCCCACATCAAGGTCTTACCTGCTGTTTTCATACAACCCAGCCTTGGCTAACTGTTTAAAACCAGATATTGTGTCTGTGTGTGACCTTTGGGGGAGGAGGAGACAACCTAGGAGGACTCTTTAAGGCGCTGTCTTTTTTGGGAAGAAGATCTGCTTTTGAAGACTCTTTGTATCCCAATTTCTGCTCGACTCGAAGGGGAGAGTGTTCCTGCTGGCAGCGGCGGTGCGTCACTGATGACTATGTGATGAAGGGGGTGAATCCCTCTGAATCACGCTCTGTTGTTGGCTGTTCTCTACTAAATGCTCTCTTTGTTTTTTTGTCAGATACCAACTCACCCACTAACTGATTCTTATTTTTGTGGCCCAGCCTTTTATGGGGAAATGTTCCTAGATCGGGTCAGGTCATTGCCAGACAACCCAACAAAAAACACAGAGATGCAGAGCAGCACTGCCGCCTGCAAGCAGCCCCCTTGCTCTCCCAAGACTGTGCCCCTGTGCTCACCCACGACCTCGCAGGATGGACCACACTCACTCTCTCTGCCGAGGCAGGGAGACAGCTGGCCATGGCACCCCTTCATGTGGAGCAGAGACTTCCCATGTCAGGTCATTTGCTGGTCACATCGAGATCCACATGGAGAGACAGATACAGCTTAAGTCACTGTACCCAGGATGGACCAGCCTGACTGGGGTAGATGCCAGATTTAGCCAAACTAACCTGGCTGGTTTTCTTTCCCTGAACTATCTTTGCGATTAAATTGGTGGGGTCTTCCCACCATCTCCTACTTCCAAGACTAGGCACACACCACGATCACCATCAATTCTCTTTTTCCCCAGATATATTTTCAACTTGCCCACGGAGCCACCACTGAAATGTTTGAAAGCTTCGAAAATCGATTTACACAAACAGTGAAGCCCATCCCCGTTTTCAGGGCTCGAGGGCAGCCCCGAGCCCTTTGCCGGGTGGGAGTCTGGGATTTGGTGGCATTCCTTCCCTGTCCCCAGCATTGTGCCAGCACCAAAGAGCCACCAGAGAAGAAGACACTGCAGTCAGCAGGCTTTGCTGCCGCCACCTTTGCCCCCAGCACCTACCAGTGTTTAGTCTGTTCTGGGAGCACCCTACGACTCCTCCCCTACTTTTCAAAAGGGAGTCAGCACAGGGAAATCCTTAACCAAGGAATGAGGGGAGCACCTGGTGAAAGGCGGGCAGGGAGGCAGCGCAGGAAAGAAAACGTACGGACACGCCCAGACACAGCCCCTCGCCGGCTTCCGCTTCATCTGAGAAGTGCGGGTCGCACCACCAGGTCCGCGGGAAGCTCGGATTCTGGCTTCCACGGCCTCGGCTCCGGTTAGCATTCCCGTGGCCTGGGCTGCAGAGACATCTGGTGGCAGATTTATCGCTCCTGCAGGAAGGCCTGCTTCATTCACTCCTAGCACCCGGGTGAGATTAATAGCTTTGCTCAGGCCGAGTCTATAAACATAAATCCCATTTCTTGATGGTCCTTCTTGTGTTGAAAGGTTCCTTCCTAAATAATAATCCTAAATAATCTACAGACGGGGGCATTTAGCTGTTCAAAACTGAAGCAAAAAAACAAACAAAAAAGGAGGTGTGGTCAAGGAATCTCGGGCATCCAACTGATTTAGCCCAGTTTTTTCCTTTTCAAGCCTAATTAAACCACTAATTTCAGCCTTATCACGTACGCGCATCTCTCCGCTTCTCCGCTGCCCAGCAGAAGTGCTCCCTCCTACCAGAGCTTTCAATGGGTCAGGTGCCCAGTACTACCCAGGGCCAATCTCTTCCAAGATTCCTTCCCAGCCTCACCAAGGCCAGTTTGAACTAGTTCACTCCGCTTAATCTCTGCAGTCCCCACGATGCTATCTCCTCCTGCTTTTTCTTTTCTCAATTCACCTCCAAGTGTGTTCAACTCAGATTTTATTAGGTTTCACTGGAACTCGGTTTTGCTAGAAACCCCTGCGTTTGAAAAGATGAAAACGTGGCTGTCACAGTCATCTTGAGATTATCTACCTCTGCTTTCTCCTTGAGGGTCTTCCTTCCCATCCAGTGACCCCTCCCTCAAATCAAAAAGGCCTGTCTGAAAGTCAAGATCAACATCAAGGCCCCCACCCGGAGCTGGCAGGGATATAAACTGTTTGCTTATTTACGTAAAGATGGCCCCATCAACACGCTGGCTGCGGGGGACCACTGAAGCCAGTACGTGGCGGTAGTCAGAACTGGCTGGCAGTGGCCTTCTGCCTATTTGCAAGAGAGAATTCATTTTAAAAACCAGCAGCAACAACAAAAAGTAGCTTACGGGATGGTCAGAGTCCCATGGGCCTCTGGCAAAGCCTCCAGCAAGCCTCTGGTTATTTTCAAGTGGCAAAGCAAAAGCAGGGTGAGATCAGGAGAATGAAAGCAAGAAGGCGTAGGGGAAAGTCAAGACAAAGGACCCCAAAGCAGCCTGCAGAGTTCTGACTTGCTGAACCACCCCAGGCAGCAGTGGGATTATGGCAAAGTATCTCAACTCTCATGAGGTCGTCTTCCCATGGCCCCTTCTTGGGTCTTCCTGAAAGACCCTGAGAATGGAGACAAGCGCTGGCTTCACCTGCGAACTCTTTCCAGAGTAACGACCAGCTGTCTGTGCCTGATAACTCACTGTGACAAGAGGAACCTTCTGTCAATCACACAGTGCGCAGGGAAACAGATCAGAACCCCCCCTCCAGCTTCAAGCTGTAGGTGTGGACAACGCCTTTTCCCACTTCCTTTTGCCATGTTAAGAAACACCTTCTCGTGGGACGCCATATGGACGGCCACAAAAATCGCTGTAGTTTTTATGCTAATGCACGTGCTTAAATTGGGAGTGGGGCACCTGCAGGACCAAGAGGCTTTTTATGCCACAGTTCAAATCATCATCTTCAGCGGTGAGGCCAAGGCCGGGGCCCAAGCAGCACCGTTCTAGAGCCGGAGAATTTTAGGGGGAGGAACAGAATAACAGCAAACCGGCCATCCTCAACTTCGCTTTATTTTATGAGTTCTCATAAACATTTGAGCTGGCTGAAAATCAACCACTGGCAAGAATGACTCTTTAAACACTCCAAATCTAAAAGTGTTTCATTGCCTCTCTGCAGAAGCATTTTAGGAAATAGTAATTTATCACAAAAAGAACCCTTGGATTCATTCAGAGCCAAGTGTAACTGATGGGAACTATTTAACGCACGCTTTGCAACGCTAATACTGTTGTGGGCTAGACCACCGCACCATTTGGGCAAATTAATTCCTCAAAACACTCATCCCAATTACGTTTTTAAAATCCACATCCTGTGCATTAACTCTTATGCTGACACATTGTCTTTCTGATTGAATTACAAAAGGGCAAAATATAAGACATCTCATTTTCAGAAAGCCTTCAGACTTTCGACTTGTCTCAAGGCCTCCAATTTGACTAAATAATTTAAATACCACATTTCTTCTCTAAGATGGAGACCTGACTTTAAGGAAACCACAAGCCCTAAATTAAAATAAATTCTCTTTAATTTCCTGAATACTAAATCAAGCAAACACAAAGACCAATTTTAAGGGCATGTGAATTAAATAAAAATTTTTTTTTAATGGAGGAAAAATTTGAACTAGAGAGAAAGAAATCAAATAAATAACAAAATATGGCTGAAATTAAACCAACAGTTCAGTCAAAAACCCTATTGTGAAAGGAGATTCTTTTAAAAGTTTGCATAATTTTATCCAAATATATACACGCTAACTTCCTAGATTAGCATATTTGGTTGTAAACGGATGACAGCTCCATCACTACAACAAAGAAGTTTGATTTCACTACCTTAAAACCCAAATTTATTAACGAGATCTGTTAAGAATGTGATAGGACAGTAAAAGAAAAGAAAGAGATTTTTGGAGGAGGGGAAATGTATGCACTTATATATGCATATAAATATTTAATCCAATAATTTAATTAAGCATATTTAAAAGAATGGACTTTAAGTATTTAAAGGTGGCATTAAATTAATCTGATATATTCCAATCACATCAAACCGCTTTTTTTTATTGCATTTCTCATGCACTAACGTTCATGTACCTTGGTTTCTAACTCAATTAAAGTGCCAATATCATCCCCATTCATCATAAAAACAGCTCTTTATAACGTGCAAAATAGTTTGGCTCAGAGGTTGATGTCATAATGAGGGTAGAATGTATGAGCATTAACATCGTTTTTTTCCTAAGTGTAGTTTTATTGGAAAAATCATTTTCCACTTTGAAATTTACTGGGTCTAACAGATAGAGTTGGATTTATGGCTGTTAACAGAGTTATGAGTGTGGCAGAGGCAATGTAATTAAGAGCGTAGGCTTTGGAGCAGGACAGATCTGGAAACAAACCCCAGCCCTACCACGGGCTGCTCTTGGTCAACGGACTGTCCAGCTCTCAGGCTTGTGTGCTCCACAACCACATGGGTGGAAGTCCTTCTCTGTCGGTGAGCTGGGTCACTGTTGGAAATCACTTCACCTCTGACTCTGATTTCCTCATCTGCAACCACCTTACGTAGCTCATGGGCTTATGTTAAGAATCAAATGAGCAAACAGGTAATAGTGCTTTATCATCAGGAACGCTGGTGACAGAAATCGCTGTTGTATCTGTTAGCTTTCCACTCCATCCCCCGCACCCCCCCATTCAGCCTTTCCTTCCTGCCGATCCGTCTGGTCTCCTCTCCGGCAAAGCTGTTCTAGAAGTCCCAATCTCTGTCCTAGGGAGACATTGTTCTCCTACCCACAAAGTCTCCAAAATAGCCACAACATTCTGAGTTTTCTAAGGCACCATCATAATTGGCAAAAAGCCCTTTGGAACCGGGGTGTGAAGGCAACCTTAGACCACCCTTGTTCATATCAATCGTCCTTCCTCCATAAGCTTCCTGTGGGCTGCTGGACCTGGAAGGGGCACCCTC